CCTTGAAGCACATTTTTGAGTTCGCTGATGACTACGACAAGATCCTGTACGGGTTCAGGCATGAAATCACACTCGTGCGCGATTCCACGCCGTCGACGTGGGAAAAGTTGTCCTGCGTAAGATCTCATGGTTCGTCCCCCACGTCACTCCTTTAGACGAAAACAAGATGCAGCTATACAAAACCATTTAGAGTAAAGCGAAGATCAACTGTGGATTTCGAATGAGGCAGTGCGATTCCATAGCTGTCCCCCAAGCCTCACAGTTCAGCTGGCGCTTATCTGCCAAGAGCGGTCGCGAGAAGCCCAGGAACATCATCGTTGTCTTCCAAACCAAGAGAAGTGGGAACCAGGAGCGCAAAGTTGCCGTGTTCGATTTCTGTCGATTGCAAAACATCCATGTCACTCTCAACGCTGAACGCTACCCGGTTGTCGACTACAATGCCGTTTTCACCGAAAACAGGGTAGCCAGAGTGTTCAAAGAGGCTGCTGACTTCAGGAAGAAATTACACAACATGGACACCCTCCTCAGCAACGGTGGCATCAACCCCTCTGACTTTATCCATTTGTACCCCTTGTTTCTCATTGACGGGAGTCACCAGTCCGAGCGGCTGAAAGAATCCACGGTGGACATTCAGATCCGGGCCCAGTTCGAGCGTAACGTGGAGGCCAACACCAGAGCATTTGCACTTATCATTTCCGACAGAATCCTACAGTTTGAATCCGATGGTCAGAAGATGAACGTTCTGTTCTAAACGTAAAAAATGGATAAAATTTACTCCTCTTTGCAGCCGCCCTGCCGAAGTCTATGCGATCGTGGTGAAGGCTGGTAGACAACTCAAGGAGCAGTATGACGGTATCGAAGAGTGGAAGCAAAAATATGTGACAATGGTGTACCATAAAAAAATGGATAACACATTTTTGCGACGAATTGCAAACAACACTGACCCCAAACAGGGGTCCTCGTTCATTGTCTCTGGAAACGATAGTCAAATCCTTACCTGGTTCAACCCCCCACTGGAACTCAAGGAATCCAAGACCTATGAGATGGCATTAGTGAGCCTGGAAACCTATAACTCCATCCCCAACATTCATACAGGTAACAATTCCTTCCGCTACTCCCCCGACGATGGTGCCAACTGGTTTCCCATCGCACTGAGCACAGGTTCCTATGACATCGAAGACATCAACAATGAGATCCAGCGGCGGCTACGGCTCAACAAACACAAAACAAAGATCATCATCGATGTCAACCGGGCGACCCTAAGAGCAACGCTAACCCTCGCCAGACACTATCAAGTATACTTCAACGTTGTCAATAGCATCAACACCGTCTTGGGATTCAAGCGGCAGATTTACACATTCGATATGATCACAGATGGCTATACAGAAGGGGAACACATTGTAAATATCATCAGCATGAGCAGCATTCTGGTGAATAGTGATATCATCCATGGAAGTTATGTGAATGGTACACAGCAGTCTACCATCTACAGCTTCTTTCCCGCAGACGGTCCTGGTATGAAGATAATTCAAACCCCCAAGAATCTAGTATACTTGCCGGTGACCTTGCGAACCATCAATCGCATGCAAACGTATCTCACCGATCAAGATTGTAGGCCCATCGATTTCAGGGGTGAACATCTCACCATCCGCTTTCATCTTCGTGAGGTATAAATAAATGACTCATCACGAACATGGTGTGACCTTGACAAAGGGTCAAGCTGATAAACTACAACGGGCTGTCAAGCAATGTTGTCCGGTCTCCATTCGTTTGTCCCACGCAAACCTGCAAGGTGAACACAAGATGTGGCTCACCTCTCGGCAGGTTCAAAAGATTATTAAGCTTCTCCAGAAAGGTACTGGTGGTATGAATCTGTAGCTGAGTGCCGCCCAAATGAAGGAAAACATGCAAAAAGTAGGTGGATTCCTACCCATGTTGGCAGGGCTGGTAATGAGGGCACTTCCCATGGTAGCTAAGACAATTCTACCTGCCTTTGGTGTTGGAGCCTTGAACGGTCTGGGTGGTGTAGCCATCAACAAGGCCTTAGGGTCTGGATTGTACTTGAAACGTGGTGGGTGTGTTTATACCGTGAAACCTAGTGGCAACGGTCTCTACCTCAAACCCTCAAACGCATGGATCACCTATGGTGATGGACTCTACTTAAAGCGTGGTCAGCAATTCCACGACGGAGCCGGTCTGATCTTTGGTGCTAACAGCCCTTCAAAAACATTCCCCTCCTCGGTATGCTCCTATAAATAAATGGATGATTTAGATTCTGGATTGCGGCAGACCAGAGTCGAATGTATGGAAGACCAACTCAACGCGGATATTCTTAAGTATCAACGTACCTTGAAGATCTACAAACGACTCGATAAAGTAGTGTATATAGCACAGGGTGTGTGTTCCGTAGCCAGTTTGATGTTGACCAGCTGCACCATGGGTTCAGCTTTGACCGGTATAGGTATTATAGCCTCCCTTCCCCTAGGATCCCTTGCTTGCTTGAGTGCCACTGGCGTGATGGTACTCACACTGATCTCAGGGCGTATCATGAAAAAGAAGAAAAAACACCGCGACACCTTGCGATTGGCACAGTCCACAAAATCCTTGGATGAACATTGTATTAGTACTGCGTTGGCTGATGATGAACAAATTGATGATGCTGAGTTTGGTAAGATCGCAAGCTGCCTCAAGAATTACTATGATGAGAAAGATCAGCTGCGACAACCTTCCACCACTTTTAGTGAGGACCATAATGCGCATGCGCCGTAAAAACGTCACACATCATTCCATTACGCTCTACTACACACATCGATTCACGATGTGTTCCGTTCTGCTTCATTTCAAGATGTGCTCCGTTTAAAGTATAAAAAAAAAACCAAAAACCAAAAAACTTTCCGATCCGGCAGAAATGTCGGATTGGAAAATTTTTTTTGTACCCCACCCACCCCATTTTTTTTTTTTTTTTTTTTTTAATTAATTTCTTACAAGATCGCAAGAAAAGTACTCCTGTTTGGTCTTTTTACTAACTTTTAAGCCTGTACTTCTCACGAAGGCTCCTTCCAAGGCTTCCTTCTCTCTGTTCAGACTACTGCAGGCCCATACCCTTGTCGTTTCTCCTTCTTTGTTTTTCAAGGTGAGGATCTTACTCCTCCCAAACTTCCAATCTACTTCTACCACTTCTAGGATTTTATATTTTACCCAGGTTGGAAGTTCCTTCCATTTTAGGGTTTCCAGGCTCTGGTCCTTTGCCTTTTCCTCGAAAACATTATCATTAATAAAATCGTCGTCTACGATGTTTTAACTTCTGAGTTCCTCCATCGTTTGTACGAAAGCCATATTTTTGTATCTACCCCTAGGATTACATCCCTTTAAGGTGTCTCTACCATTGTTTACAAAAAGCCATATTCTTCTTCCTACCCTTAGACTAGTTGAAACACAATGTATTTGCATTTTATGTTTGAGGTTGGGGTCCCTATGCAGGATTTGTGCTTAAAAATGGCAAGTGCGGCAGAATCCCCCTTTTTACACTACTATCCACCATTATTTTTCTCTAGAAGCCATGGAATAGGCCAACCCCCTGTTTTTAATATTTTTTTTTTAAATTTTGAGCACTAGTTTCAATTTTTTTTATTATAGCGCCCTTCGATACCTTGCGCAAAAGATGCGCCTGTTTCTCTTCTACAAGACCTATATAGACACACCCCGTAACACTCCTCATTAATTATTTTTCTCCAGAAGCCATGGAATACGCCAACCCCCCTGTTTTTAACAATTTTTTTTTCAAATTTTGTGCTCTAGTTTCAGATTTTTGAACATAGCGCCCTTCGATACATTGCGCAAAAGATGCGCCTATTTTTCATCTACAAGATCTATATAGTCATACCCCATGACACCCCTCATTATTTTTCTCTAGAAGCCATGGAATAGGCCAACCCCCCTGTTTTTAACAATTTTTTTTTCAAATTTTGAGCTCTAGTTTCAGATTTTTTAACATAGCGCCCTTTGATACCTTGCACAAAAGATGCGCCTGTTTCTCCTCTACAAGACCTATATAGTCATTACCCGTGACACTCCTCATTATTTTTCTCTGGAAGCCATGGAATAGGCCAACCCCCATGTTTTTTACACTTTTTTTCAAATTCTTAGCTCTAGTTTCAGACTTTTGAACATAGCGCCCTTCGATACCTTGCGAAAAAAATGCGCCTGTTTCTCCTCTACAAGACCTATATAGGCATACCCCGTGACACCCCTCATTATTTTTCTGTAGAAGCCATGGAATAGGCCAACCCCCCTGTTTTAACAATTTTTTTCAAATTTTGAGCTCTAGTTTTAGATTTTTGAACATAGCGCCCTTCGATACCTTGCGCAAAAGATGCGCCTGTTTCTCTTCTACAAGACCTATATTGTCATACCCCGTGACACCCCTCATTATTTTTCTCTAAAAGCCAACTCCCCTGTTTTTAACAATTTTTTTCTTCAAATTTTGAGCTCTATTTTCAGATTTTTGACCATAACGCCCTTCGATACCTTGCGCAAAAGATGCGCCTGTTTCTCCTCTACAAGACCTATATAGTCATACTCCGTGACACCCCTCAATTTTTTTCTCTAGAAGCCATGGAATAGGCCATTCCCCCTGTTTTTAACAAATTTTTTTCAAATTTTGAGCTCTAGTTTCAGATTTTTGAACATAGCGCCCTTCGATACCTTGCGCAAAAGATGCGCCTGTTTCTCCTCTACAAGACCTATATAGTCATACCTCATGACAACCCTCATTATTTTTCTGTAGAAGCCATGGGATAGGCCAACCTCCCTGTTTTTAACAATTTTTTTTTTTAATTTTGAGCTCTAGTTTCAAATTTTTGAACATAGCGCCCTTCGTTACCTTGCGCAAAAGATGCGCTTGTTTCTCTTCTACAAGACCTATATAGTCATACCCCGTGACACCCCTCATTATTTTTCTCTAGAAGCCATGGAATAGGCCATTCCCCCTGTTTTTAACAAATTTTTTTCAAATTTTGAGCTCTAGTTTCAGATTTTTGAACATAGCGCCCTTCTATACCTTGCGCAAAAGATGCGCCTGTTTCTCCTCTACAAGACCTATATAGTCATACCTCATGACAACCCTCATTATTTTTCTGTAGAAGCCATGGGATAGGCCAACCTCCCTGTTTTTAACAATTTTTTTTTTAATTTTGAGCTCTAGTTTCAAATTTTGAACATAACGCCCTTCGTTACCTTGCGCAAAAGATGCGCTTGTTTCTCTTCTACAAGACCTATTTAGTCATACCCCGTGACACCCCTCGTTATTTTTCTCTAGAAGCCATGGAATAGGCCATTCCCCCTGTTTTTAACAAAAATTTTTCAAATTTTGAGCTCTAGTTTCAGATTTTTTAACATAGCGCCCTTCGATACCTTGCGCAAAAGATGCGCCTGTTTCTCCTCTACAAGACCTATATAGTCATACCTCGTGACACTCCTCATTATTTTTCTCTGGAAGCCATGGAATAGGCCAACCCCCATGTTTTTTACACTTTTTTTCAAATTCTTAGCTCTAGTTTCAGACTTTTGAACATAGCGCCCTTCGATACCTTGCGAAAAAAATGCGCCTGTTTCTCCTCTACAAGACCTATATAGGCATACCCCGTGACACCCCTCATTATTTTTCTGTAGAAGCCATGGAATAGGCCAACCCCCCTGTTTTAACAATTTTTTTCAAATTTTGAGCTCTAGTTTTAGATTTTTGAACATAGCGCCCTTCGATACCTTGCGCAAAAGATGCGCCTGTTTCTCTTCTACAAGACCTATATTGTCATACCCCGTGACACCCCTCATTATTTTTCTCTAAAAGCCAACTCCCCTGTTTTTAACAATTTTTTTCTTCAAATTTTGAGCTCTATTTTCAGATTTTTGACCATAACGCCCTTCGATACCTTGCGCAAAAGATGCGCCTGTTTCTCCTCTACAAGACCTATATAGTCATACTCCGTGACACCCCTCAATTTTTTTCTCTAGAAGCCATGGAATAGGCCATTCCCCCTGTTTTTAACAAATTTTTTTCAAATTTTGAGCTCTAGTTTCAGATTTTTGAACATAGCGCCCTTCGATACCTTGCGCAAAAGATGCGCCTGTTTCTCCTCTACAAGACCTATATAGTCATACCTCATGACAACCCTCATTATTTTTCTGTAGAAGCCATGGGATAGGCCAACCTCCCTGTTTTTAACAATTTTTTTTTTTAATTTTGAGCTCTAGTTTCAAATTTTTGAACATAGCGCCCTTCGTTACCTTGCGCAAAAGATGCGCTTGTTTCTCTTCTACAAGACCTATATAGTCATACCCCGTGACACCCCTCATTATTTTTCTCTAGAAGCCATGGAATAGGCCATTCCCCCTGTTTTTAACAAATTTTTTTCAAATTTTGAGCTCTAGTTTCAGATTTTTGAACATAGCGCCCTTCTATACCTTGCGCAAAAGATGCGCCTGTTTCTCCTCTACAAGACCTATATAGTCATACCTCATGACAACCCTCATTATTTTTCTGTAGAAGCCATGGGATAGGCCAACCTCCCTGTTTTTAACAATTTTTTTTTTAATTTTGAGCTCTAGTTTCAAATTTTGAACATAACGCCCTTCGTTACCTTGCGCAAAAGATGCGCTTGTTTCTCTTCTACAAGACCTATTTAGTCATACCCCGTGACACCCCTCGTTATTTTTCTCTAGAAGCCATGGAATAGGCCATTCCCCCTGTTTTTAACAAAAATTTTTCAAATTTTGAGCTCTAGTTTCAGATTTTTTAACATAGCGCCCTTCGATACCTTGCGCAAAAGATGCGCCTGTTTCTCCTCTACAAGACCTATATAGTCATACCTCGTGACACCCCTCATTATTTTTTTCTAGAAGCCATGGAATAGGCCACCCCCCCCCCTTTTTAACAATTGTTTTCAAATTTTGAGCTCTAGTTTCAGATTTTTGAACATAGCGCCCTTTGAAACATTGCGCAAAAGATGCGCCTGTTTCTCTTCTACAAGACCTATATAGTCATACCCCGTGACAACCCTCATTATTTTTCTCTAGAAGCCATGGATTAGGCTATTCCCCCTGTTTTTAACAATTTTTTTTCAAATTTTGAGCTCTAGTTTCAGATTTTTGAACATAGCGCCCTTCGATACATTGCGCAAAAGATGCGCCTGTTTCTCTTCTACAAGATCTGTATAGTCATACCCCGTGACACCCCTCATTATTTTTCTCTAGAAGCCACGGAATAGGTCAACCCCCCTGTTTTTAACAATTTTTTTTTCAAATTTCGAACTCTAGTTTCAGATTTTTGAACATAGCGCCCTTCAATACCTTGCGCAAAAGATGAGCCTGTTTCTCGTCTACAAGACCTATATAGTCATACCCCGTGACACCCCTCATTATTTTTCTCTAGAAGCCATGGAATAGGCCAACCCCCTGTTTTTAACAATTTTTTTCAAATTTTGAGCTCTAGTTTCAGATTTTTGAACATAGCGCCCTTCAATACATTGCGCAAAAGATGCGCCTGTTTCTCTTCTACAAGATCTTTATAGTCATACCCCGTGACACCCCTCATTATTTTTCTCTAGAAGCCATGGAATAGGCCAACCCCCTGTTTTTAACAATTTTTTTTTTCACATTTTGAGCTCTAGTTTCAGATTTTTTAACATAGCGCCCTTCAATACCTTGCGCAAAAGATGCGCCTGTTTCTACTCTACAAGACCTATATAGTCAAACCCCGTGACACCCTCATTATTTTTCTCTAGAAGCCATGGAATAGGCCAACCCCCTGTTTTTAATAAATTTTTTTTCAAATTTTGAGCTCTAGTTTCAGATTTTTTAACATAGCGCCCTTCGTTACTTTGCGCAAAAGATGCGCTTGTTTCTCTTCTACAAGACCTATATAGTCATACCCCGTGACAACCCTCATTATTTTTCTCTAGAAGCCATGGAATAGGCCAACCCCCTGTTTTTAACATTTTTTTTTTCCAAATTTTGAGCTCTAGTTTCAGATTTTTGAACATAGCGCCCTTCGATACCTTGCGCAAAAGATGCGCCTGTTTCTCCTCTACAAGACCTATATAGTCATACTCCGTGACACCCTCATTATTTTTCTGTAGAAGCCATGGAATAGGCCAACTCCCCTGTTTTTAACAATTTTTTTTTTAAATTTTGAGCTCTAGTTTCAAATTTTTGAACATAGCAACCTTCGTTACCTTGCGCAAAAGATGCGCTTGTTTCTCTTTTACAAGACCTATATAGTCATATCCCGTGACACCTTTCATTATGTTTCTCTAGAAGCCATGGAATAGGCCATTCCCCCTGTTTTCAACAAATTTTTCTCAAATTTTGAGCTCCAGTTTCAGATTTTTAAACATAGCGCCCTTCGATACCTTGCGCAAAAGATGCGCCTGTTTTTCCTCTACAAGACCTATGTAGTTATACCCCGTGACACCCCTCATTATTTTTTTGTAGAAGCCATGGAATAGGCCTTCCCCCCACCCTTTTTCACAATTTTTTTCAAATTTAGAGCTCTAGTTTCAGATTTTTAAACATAGCACCCTTCGTTACCTTGCAAAAAAGATGCGCCTATTTCTCCTCTACAAGACTTTTTTAGTCATACCCCGTGACAACCCTCATTATTTTTCTCTAGAAGCCATGGAATAGGCCAACCCCCCTGTTTTTAACAATTTTTTTCAAATTTTGAGCTCTAGTTTCAGATTTTTGAACATACCGCCCTTCGATACCTTGCGCAAGAGATGCGCCTGTTTCTCTTGTACAAGACCTATATTGTCATACCCCGTGACACCCGACATTATTTTTTTGTAGAAGCCATGGAATAGGCCAACCCCCCTGTTTTTAACATTTTTTTTCAAATTTTGAGCTCTAGTTTCAGATTTTTGAACATAGCGCCCTTCGATACCTTGCGCAAAAGATGCGCCTGTTTCTTTTTTATAAGACCTATATAGTCATACCCCGTGACACCACTCATTATTTTTCTCTAAAAGCCATGGAATAGGCCAATCTCCCTGTTTTTAACATTTTTTTTTTTCAAATTTTGAGCTCTAGTTTCAGATTTTTGAACATAGCGCCCTTCGATACCTTGCGCAAAAGATGCGCCTGTTTCTCCTCTACAAGACCTATATAGTCATACTCCGTGACACCCTCATTATTTTTCTGTAGAAGCCATGGAATAGGCCTTCCCCCCACCCTTTTTCACATTTTTTTTCAAATTTCGAGCTCTAGTTTCAGATTTTTGAACATAGCACCCTTCGATACATTGCGCAAAAGATGCGCCTGTTTCTCTTCTACAAGACCTATATAGTCATACCCCGTGACACCCCTCATTATTTTTCTCTAGAAGCCATGGAATAGGCCAACCCCCTGTTTTTAACAATTTTTTTTTCAAATTTTGAGCTCTAGTTTCAGATTTTTGAACATACCGCCCTTCAATACCTGGCGCAAAAGATGCGCCTGTTTCTCTTCTACAAGACCTATATAGTCATACCCCGTGACACCCTCATTATTTTTCTCTAGAAGCCATGGAATAGGCCAACCCCCTGTTTTTAATATTTTTTTTTTCAAATTTTGAGCTCTAGTTTCAGATTTTTGAACATAGCGCCCTTCGTTACTTTGCGCAAAAGATGCGCTTGTTTCTATTCTACAAGACCTATATAGTCATACCCCGTGACAACCCTCATTATTTTTCTCTAGAAGCCATGGAATAGGCCATTCCCCCTGTTTTTAAAAAAAAAATTTCAAATTTTGAGCTCTATTTTCAGATTTTTGAATATAGCGCCCTTCGATACATTGTGCAAAAGATGCGCCTGTTTCTCTTCTACAAGACCTATATAGTCATTCTCCGTGACACCCCTAATTATTTTTCTCTAGAAGCCATGGAATAGGCCAACCTCCCTGTTTTTAACAAGTTTTTTCAAATTTTGAGCTCTAGTTTCAGATTTTTGAACATAGCGCCCTTCGATACCTTGCGCAAGAGATGCGCCTGTTTCTCTTCTACAAAACCTATATAGTCATACCCCGTGACACCCCTCAGTATGTTTCTCTAGAAGCCGTGGAATAGGCCAATCCCCCTGTTTTTAACAAATTTTTTTTTCAAATTTTGAGCTCTTGTTTCAGATTTTTCAACATAGCGCCCTTCGATACCTTGCACAAAAGAAGCGCCTGTTTCTCCTCTACAAGACCTATATAGTCATACCCCGTGACAACCCTCATTATTTTTCTCTAGAAGCCATGGAGTAGGCCAACCCCCCTTTTTTTAACAATTTTTTTCAAATTTTTAGCTCTAGTTCCAGATTTTTGAACATACCGCCCTTCGATACCTTGCGCAAGAGATGCGCCTGTTTCTCTTGTACAAGACCTATATTGTCATACCCCGTGACACCCCTCATTATTTTTCTCTAGAAGCCATGGAATAGGCCAACCCCCCTGTTTTTAACATTTTTTTTCAAATTTTGAGCTCTAGTTTCAGATTTTTGAACATAGCGCCCTTCGATACCTTGCGCAAAAGATGCGCCTGTTTCTTTTTTACAAGACCTATATAGTCATACCCAGTGACACCCCTCATTATTTTTCTCTAAAAGCCATGGAATAGGCCAATCCCCTGTTTTTAACAAATTTTTGTTCTTCAAATTTTGAGCTCTAGTTTCAGATTTTTGAACATAGCGCCCTTCGATACCTTGCGCAAAAGATGCGCCTGTTTCTCTTCTTCAAGACTTATATAGTCAATCCCCGTGACACCCTCTTTATTTTTCTGTACAAGCCATGGGATAGGCCAATTCCCCTGTTTTTAACAATTTTTTTTTTTAATTTTGAGCTCTAGTTTCAAATTTTTGAACAAAGCGCCCTTCGTTACTTTGCGCAAAAGATGCGCTTGTTTCTCTTCTACAAGACCTATATAGTCATACCCCGTGACAACCCTCATTATTTTTCTCTAGAAGCCATGGAATAGGCCATTCCCCCTGTTTTTAACAAATTTATTTCAAATTTTGAGCTCTATTTTCAGATTTTTGAATATAGCGCCCTTCAATACCTTGCGCAAAAGATGCGCCTGTTTCTCTTTTACAAGACCTATGTAGTTATACCCCGTGACACCCCTCATTATTTTTTTCTAGAAGCCATGGAAAAGGCCTCCCCCCCCCCCCTTTTTAACAATTTTTTTTCAAATTTAGAGCTCTAGTTTCAGATTTTTGAACATAGCACCCTTCGTTACCTTGCGGAAAAGATGCGTCTGTTTCTCTTCTACAAGACCTATATAGTCATACCCCGTGACAACCCTCATTATTTTTCTCTAGAAGCCATTGATTAGGCTATTCCCCCTGTTTTTAACAATTTTTTTTCAAATTTTGAGCTCCAGTTTCAGGTTTTTGAACATAGCGCCCTTCGATACATTGCGCAAAAGATGCGCCTGTTTCTCTTCTACAAGATCTATATAGTCATACCCCGTGACACCCCTCATTATTTTTCTCAAGAAGCCATGGAATAGGCCATCCCCCCTGTTTTTAACAAATTTTTTTTCAAACTTTGAGCTCTAGTTTCAGATTTTTGAACATAGCGCCCTTCGATACCTTGCGCAAAAGATGCGCCTGTTTCTCCTCTACAAGACCTATATAGTCATACCCCGTGACACCCCTCATTATTTTTCTCTAGAAGCCATGGAATAGGCCAACCCCCCTGTTTTTAACAATTTTTTTTTTAAATTTTGAGCTCTAGTTACAGATTTTTGAACATATCGCCCTTCGATACCTTGCACAAAAGATGCGCCTGTTTCTCTTCAACAAGACCTATATAGTCATACCCCGTGACACTCCTCATTTTTTTTCTATAGAAGCCATGGAATAGGCCAACCCCCCTGTTTTTAACATTTTTTTCCAAATTTTGAGCTCTAGTTTCAGATTTTTGAACATAGCGCCCTTCGATACCTTGCGCAAAAGATGCGCCTGTTTCTCTTCTACAAGACCTATATTGTCATACCCCGTAACACCCCACATTATTTTTCTGTAGAAGCCATGGAATAAGCCAACCCCCCTGTTTTTAACATTTTTTTCAAATTTTGAGCTCTAGTTTCAGATTTTTGAACATAGCGCCCTTCGTTACCTTGCGCGAAAGATGCGCTTGTTTTTCTTCTACAAGACCTATATTGTCATACCCCGTAACACCCCACATTATTTTTCTGTAGAAGCCATGGAATAAGCCAACCCCCCTGTTTTTAACATTTTTTTCAAATTTTGAGCTCTAGTTTCAGATTTTTGAACATAGCGCCCTTCGTTACCTTGCGCGAAAGATGCGCCTGTTTCTCTTCTACAAGACCTATATTGTCATACCCCGTAACACCCCACATTATTTTTCTCTAGAAGCCATGGAATAGGCCAACCCCCTATTTTTAATAAATTTTTTTTCAAATTTTGAGCTCTAGTTTCAGATTTTTAAACATAGCGCCCTTCGTTACCTTGCGCGAAAGATGCGCTTGTTTCTCTTCTACAAGACCTTTATAGTTCATACCCCGTGACACCCCTCATTATTTTTCTCTAGAAGCCATGGAATAGGCCATTCCCCCTGTTTTTAACAATTTTTTTTCAAATTTTGAGCTCTAGTTTCAGATTTTTGAACATAGCGCCCTTCGATACCTTGTGCAAAAGATGCGCCTGTTTCTCTTCTACAAGACCTATATAGTTATACCCCGTGACAACCCTCATTATTTTTCTCTAGAAACCATGGAATAGGCCAACCCCCCTGTTTTTAACAAGTTTTTTCAAATTTTGAGCTCTAGTTTCAGACTTTTGAGCATAGCGCCGTTCGATACCTTGCGCAAAAGAAGCGCCTGTTTCTCCTCTACAAGACCTATTTAGTCATACTCCGTGACACCCCTCATTATTTTTCTCTAGAAGCCATGGAATAGGCCAACCCCCATTTCTGCAAATGTGTATCTTAGTTCAGTTAAACAATGACATCAAAGGTGCTGTATTTTACAGGGAAGGACTACTTTTACATACGTTCTAAATGGAAGTGGGTGCATTGGTGGTTTTACACCTACAAATAATCCGTTGACAGATGCAGATTTACTGTGGTACTGAATATTAGCCTAAAAGAGATGTGAATTGTTTTATCAATGGATGGGATAAATACCATTTCATGATAGAGTTGAAATTGCAATATTTGGACGGAATTTCTGCCTGTAAATATTTTTCATTTAACGGCCGTTGCTGTCTTATTCATTTTTTCGGTTTTTAGATATATCGCCTAATTGTTCGCTGGCTTATTGTTCGCTAGTTATTGTTCGCTAGCTTCAGCCTGGTCTATTTTAACCCCCTTTTTTTACATTGTATCATTATCCTTAAAAGTACATTCGAGAAGAGAGTTGAAATAGTTTGGTAATTTGTAGAAATAAAATGTACAAACATGTAAGGCTAGTGCATATGCATGCATTTCTTTTTTTTTTTTCGATTAAAAGTTAGAACTAAATATACACAGGTAACTTTCAACCGACTGTAACATGTGATTTAAAGCCGAGGTGGACATCCTTGATTGGGTTGGCGATTAGCTTTTTTGTTAATTTGTCTGATACATGCATGTATAGTGTGCGCCGATACGGGTCACCGAACACTAAACACCTGGTTATCGAATTAGCCTTATTCGGCCACTAACATTACGGTACGTCTAAATACCGCTCAGAACATAAAAAGTGCACTCAGGACATGTAATAGATATTTTAGTGTGCGGTAAGGGTATGCATTCGATAGATAATTTAATTTTTGATCTTATAATTTTAGTTTTCATAAAATCAATTCAATATTTGAAAAGTTATTTAAGTTTTTATCCACACGTGCCGTTTTTGGGGATATGCATAACCAATTATCATGTTGATTAGGTCGTTTGATCTTTAATAATTAGGAGTTTCACTGTGATTAGTGATGGTAATAAACACATACAAGTAAACTTGGCAATCAAAAAAGGTTTCCCTTTGAAAAATAATAAACATACTGTTTTTGCAAAAATGTTAAATAAACTTTTCATTTTGTTTGTAAATATTGAAGCCAATTGATAAATCTTCACAAAGCCGGGAAATTTTCCATTCAATTTATTTCATTTGAAAACGTTGAAAAATATCGATAAAATTCATTGCAAAATGTGGCGTTCTTTGGGGTCAAAACCCCCGTTTAAACAGCGTTTGTCTCTTTTTGTCTATTGCCGAACATTCTAAAAAATAATGAAACTCGTCGCCAATATCACCGGAATTACATAAAGTACAAATAAAATTTTCTCTCTTATTATTTTGCCATCTACCAATTTCAATAGAAATGTTTGTGTTCAAAGTTCTAAATCTACAAAAAGAATCACTATTTTTTGTCATATAGAATATCAAAGTAGGCTTCGCAAGTTAGACTGTTTTTGCAAAGTCCTTAATCGTCCCCCCCCCCCCCCCCCCCCCCCCCCCTAAAAGGAGAAGGTCCGGTAAGGGCTAATTTTGGCCTAAAATTTGACTTACATCTGATGAAAGATTTTTTATATTTTTTAAACACTTATTAAGTGTCTACTTCAGTCGATTCAATTAGTTTTTTGTAAAATATTTTAACTGATTTGGTCATTATAGACGCTGAAATTCAAGCTTAAGTATGAAAATCTATCAAATATGCCATAAAACGTCACTTTTCAGATGTTTTTTTTTTTTGTCTAAACTGAAAGTGGCCGCATTCGTGTTCAGTCTCAACCTTGATATATCTGATGTAATATCATCAAATACAACATATATCTAAATATTAAGACTGAACACAAGTGCGACCACTTTTAATTTAGACAAAAACCGTCTAAAAATTAGCACAAATGTTAAAATTGTGAAAATTTTAGTAATTTTGCATGAATTAATGATGCTAGTACCTGATGCATGTGCATTGTATGGTAAAAAACAACCAATATTTATGTAACAAAAGTATTATGCTTTCCAATAAATAGCTAAAATCTTAAATTTTAACAAATTTGTAAAAGTGCTATATTTTGGGGCCAAAATGGGGTCTTACCGGGCCTACTCCTTTCTTGTAACCCCTGATAGTGTTGAACATTATTAATAGACAGCTTACATATGCAAATTTTATCTAAAAAAATATTTCGTCATTAAATCTCATTCTTGTCCAGTAATACATTTCTTGAACTTGCTGTACTTATCAACATTCGATTTTCATATGATCAAATCTCATATAGTAAGATTTAATTTCTTATTAAAATTGTTCTTGTCCAGTATTACAAGCCTTGAATGAATTTAAATAAATTCTGAAATATTAATTTATCTCCGTTTTCCTCTCAGTTTCTGTCATTTATCATATTTAGGTATTTTTCTAATAATCAAAATTAAAGTTTTTTGTATCACGCTCCGTGCAGTGTGATACGAGAAATATGTCTTCATGCAAGAAATATATAACAGGTCACGATCATAAGAGAAACTGTATTAAAATGCATTGAAAGGGAGTTTTTATTTTTTACTTCATAATCGTAAAAATGCACTACGCATAAAGTAAATTAATACATATAACATTAAACAATTCCGAAACAACTTAAAAACATCGTATAACATGTATTATTCAATTTTATTCAAAACACTGTTCTAATAACATAATATTTATAAACAATAAGGATAATCCAATCAATTTTGTTGATTGGATAATTCACGGCTGAGTAGTTGTGTAATCAGTGACACGTGCCCTCATTATTTTATAAATATAATAAATATCTCTCGAAGTTCGTTTTCAAAATCTACCAAAATTTACTACTAAAATAAAGAGCGTGCAACGAATAGATATATCCGTCCTGTCCTGTGTGCATATACGATAACTATAAAGAGTCCTGGGCATTTTACTGGTTAATATACATTTGTATTTTAGGTTGCTAGTTGTCGTTATTCAGCTTTATTAGTCTTAAGATATATACATGTACATGTATTTATAATATCTTTAACAAATTTAATCATTGAAATATGAAAAAGGTCCAATTTGCTCATATAGCTCCTCGTGTAATTTGTTCATAGGGACAGACAATTAAAGGGGGTTATGTTTTTTTTCTGAAAAAAAAAAAATGATCCGGGAGAAAGAAAAAGAACTAGTCAGATTGAAAGTATTTGCCATTCATTTTAATCTTAAATTTATATAAAAAAAAATCACGACAAAAAATAAATCATTTGAAATTAGCTTGGTACGAAAAAAAATTCAGAAATCTTAATCTAGCTTATATAGTATCAAAGAGATATAACCTGTTATGTCGATTTTATGACGCGTCACTTTTTTTCACAGTCTGTGGTTCGGTTTGTAATGGTATATATTTTGTATTCTTTGAACATATACCTTTTTGTCTACTATTTTTCTCCAATCGATAGAATTTACTTTTAACCATCCACAATATTCATATCTAAAATTGACTGGAACGAATTCGATCATTGTGATCTTTTTTTGTAATATCCAGTGACAATTATTTCAGTGATCAAGAACAAGAACAATAAAAATGAGGTTTGCAAAGTAAGTCAACCGTGATGAAGAGCAAATATTTTAACCGTAATTCGTCAAAGTATTATGTGGGAAGTGAGTGCCCTGCAACATATCATTTTAGGACCCCTCAAAAGTGTTCTTGCAAAGGTTTGTATGTGTCCAAGCACTGGCTTTACCCCGCCGGTGCATCAGGTGTAATGTCTCTGGCCATTTTATCCTGTTGATAAAAAATCAAGTGTATCAAATAAAGGAATCCCCTCTTTTACACACACAAACAAAAAAGTAATTTGTTATGAATAAAAAGGTAGACTTGTCCAGGATTTTAACACGCGTGATCATCCTATATACATTGTTTTTTTTTTAATTATTATTAGTTGTTATTGGCTTTGAATTAGGTGTCAGTAACTGCTGAGTACAGATCTGACTTTGTGGGGGAACCATGCCACGTCGAGTCTGTGTTTTTGTTAGATGTTTTTCTACTTTGTATTGATCTGATGAGTTAAGACATTTTTGATTGATTTTTATATTTTGTTTTTATGTTGTACTGTTACACCACTGCCCTAGGTAAAAAAACAGGGGGGGGGCTGTTTGGCACCTTCAAACACGTTTAACCCCGCCTGTAGTTCGGTGGTTGTTGTTGGTTCATGTCTGTCATATTTGTGTTTGGTAAGTTGTTATTCTCAATTTATTTATTCATATTTTTCATTTCGGGGCCTATTATATGGGTTTTTCTCATTTTTGGAGGCCGCGTGGTTGCCTATAATTGTTTACATCCACTTCCGATGAACTTAGGTGGATAGGTGTCTCATTGGCAATCATACCACATCTCCTTATTTTTAATATACCGTGCTTGGATGGATCCAAATATATGTCCGACACAAAAACTCTTGTGAGTGATTTTGATAGACGTAAACCTGTTTCAAAGAAAGAAACTGACCATCGTCTCAGATTTTTGATTGTTTTTGTTTGACTTATTCACAATTTGATAATGACATTAATACACATTAAATTATTAACATGTTGTTTTCATTTTTTTTATAAACTTTGGACGATTTAGAGCTTGCTATACCGGTATTCTATCATGTCTATATACTCCGGTCTTTTGTTGGAATACCCCATGCTGCTCTCAAGATGTCTTTTGTCGTTCGGTTGCTGTCATACTGACGTGTAACCCATAGAAATGCCGAACTAGCTTATACCGATATATTATTCATCCTGTTACATGTAACAGCGAACGGACAATTTTACCTTGTTTGGAATTTATTAAATTGTCACATATATTTGGTTATTTATTTCTTATTGTTATTCTTTGCGGGTAATCATAGCCCGTTTCTTGTATGGATGGAAAAAGATTTTAAAAGAAAATAGGATATGTCATCTATGTAATCAAAATATTGGCGACGAATATCATTATATGTGTGTTTGTGCACATCCTAGTGTGTCACTTCTTAGACAAAATCTCGTACCTAATTATTACTTACAATATCCTTCAAGGCAGAAATTAATCGGTTTACTTTCATTGTGCAACATAAAGGTGTATAGGAAAGTATGTACTTTTCTTAGAAAGATTACTTATGTGTTGTAGATACATTTTTTATACATTATATATATATATATTTAGGTACTCACAATCACTGAATAAATAGGAAGATATCTGTACAAATGTAATCCTTTAAACTTAATAGGTAACATATAATGTATATATCTCAATGTCATGAAAATCACGTGCTATTATACATTACTCTGCTGTCGATTTATGTGTATACTTTATCATGTTTTGACCTCTTGTACACGTTTGTGTCTGAGGAAATAAAACATTTTGTCTTTGTCTTGTCTTGTATTTATTGGGGTTTCCTTTCACAAATTATTTACAAAAAATAATTTAAATCCTGTTAACTGATTTCATTTGTTTTGCTTTTGGCATCCGATGGCATAACTGTAGTGAATATTAAGTTTGCGGCAAATTAAATGTGTTTAGTTTAAACAGTATTTATTAATGAAAAATAATAACAATTAAGGAGTACAATGGTACACGAAATTCAAATATGGGATTCGGAAACAAGTTTGGAAAAACTTTTATAAATCCGTCTCCCGAAAATGTGTTTGTTGTAGTTATAAGTGGTTTCTGTTGACATGGTTGACAAGGAAACAGATATTAACAACATATTTGTACATGATTAAAAATATATGCATAAATGCTTAAACACCATAAACCATTTGTAAACGTTTGGTGGTACATACAATTGTATTTTTAGGGTGTTCGTCTTCGGTAAAAGAGCAAGGAGGAACGTGGTTACATGAACCGGTAAAATCAGTTGAAAACTGAAATTTTATTCACTACAAATGCAAATTGAAAGGTCTATGTATCGTGTGAATCTCTACGAGACTCAAATAAGAAACACAGTGCATGTATAGTCCTATAAATAAGACTTCGGAGTTTCATATCATTTACATTCAACGTTTTTCATCGGATAATTTTTTTTTACTATCAATGTTGAAACGGGTTTCAACATTGATAGTAAAAAAAAAACAAGAGTGCACACGCTGAAATGTCTCGCCTTCTTTACTAATCATTTATATTATGTTGATAGTCCTAAAATAAAGCTTTAGTACAACTGTCACATAAACTTAACATTAACCAAGTAAACTAAACATTGACCAATGAACCATGAAAATGAGGTCAAGGTCAGATGAACCATGCTAGGCAGGCATGTACAGCTAACAATTCTTCCATACAACAAATATAGTTGACCTATTGTTTATAGTTTAAGAAAAACAGACCAAAACACAAAAACTTAACACTGAGCAATGAACGTTGAAAATGAGGTCAAGGTCAAATAAAACCTTCCTGACTGACATATAGATCATTAAATATTTCCATACACCAAATATAGTTGAACTATTGCATATAGTATTAGAAAAAAAGACCAAAACTCAAAAACTTAACTTTGACCACTGATCCATGAAAATGAGGTCAAGGTCAGATGACATCTGCCAGTTAGACATGTACACCTTACAATCATTCCATACACCAAATATAGTTGAACTATTACATATAGTATAAGAAAAAAAGACCATAACTCAAAAACTTAACTTTGACCACTGAACCATGAAAATGAGGTCAAGGTCAGATGACACCTGCCAGCTAGACATGTACACCTTACAATCATTCCATACACAATTTATAGTTGACCTATTGCATATAGTATAAGAAAAAAAGACCAAAACTCAAAAACTTAACTTTGACCACTGATCCATAAAAATGAGGTCAAGGTCAGATGACACCTACCAGCTAGACATGTACACCTTACAATCATTCCATATACCAAATATAATAGACCTACTGCTTATAGTATCTGATATATGGACTTGACCACGAAAACTTAACCTGGTTCACTGATCCATGAAATGAGGTCGAGGTCAAATGAAAATTGTCTGACGGGCATGAGGACCTTGCAAGGTACGCAAATACTAAATATAGTTATCCTATTACTCATAATAAGAAAGAAATTAACATTACAAAAAATGTTGACTTTTTTTTCAAGTAGTCACTGAACCATGAAAATGAGGTCAAGGACATTGGACATATGACAGACAGAAATTTCGTAACATAAGGCATCTATATACAAAGTATGAAGCGTCCAGGTCTTCTAGCTTCTAAAATATAAAGCTTTTAAGAAGTTAGCTAACGCCGCCGCCGCCGCCGGATCACTATCCCTATGTCGAGCTTTCTGCGACAAAAGTCGCAGGCTCGACAAAAACGGGTTTCAACATTGATGGTAAAAAAAATATATCCGATAAAAAACGTTGAATGTAAATGATATGAAACTCCGAAGTCTTATATTATAGGACCAAGTGCATGTAATGAATCATAATCGAGATAAAATAGGTTATTTTACAAAATTACAGTCGGGGAGGTTCAATCTTCGTGACCAAATTTTCTTTGGAGAAAATATGCTGTTTGGGTTTTGCCAAGGATTTATATATACATTCTTGGTTTTACTCACTGCTGTATGCCGTACGGTGAACTATATATAGTTGTCTGTTGGTAACTTCTAGGTCATCTAGTCTCTGGTGGGTTTTTGTCTCATTGGCAACTATACCACATCTAATTTTTTTTTATTCTCTAGTTAAAATTTCCAAAAAACTTTTTTATAAGTGTATGTTGACCTTAAGACATTTGTTAATTTTTGGTTGATGGGTAGATGTCTGCTACTTTGGATTCATTAGTGTTTGGGAAACCAAATATTGGATTTCATGGTAATAGATAAAGCACAAAGTTAAATGTTCAACGAAGTTCACATTTTCTAAAGAATTATATTTAGACTAGGCAAACCCACTAAATTAAATATCCACAAGAATACAATTTTTCCTGAAGGGAATTTGCTAAAAATATAAGACTCCGCAGTAATGTAGGTCTGGATGGGGTTAAATCAATCTAGAATAATGGCAAAAAAATATAAAGAATAGAGAAAAATGGGGAGCCAAAGTATAAAGAATAACGACTGTAAATAAAAATTACAATACTGATTACAGAAATGAATGATGCACAGAATAAAGAAATCATACACTTGTATAACTAATAAAATAAAATCTAATAGTAAAATGATTTTCAAAAGAATTTAAACTGAATTAACACTTTTTTCAAAGATGAGGAAAAATGATCTACAAATTTAAAGAATACAAAAATTAACATGTTTAAGGAGCCCCCATCCAGACTACAAGAAAGTTTTGGACTTCTTCAATCCGGTCAAATAATGGGACATACTATTACCATCTATGCATTACTGGTATTGTATCATAGCCTTAACTGAACTTTTTTTATAATGTGACTTCGACCCCAGCTGGTGACCTCTATTAACACTGGTATTCACATGTTTTTTTTCTGTTCCAATGAATGAAGGTGGCTTTACATCAATGGCAAACACTATGCATATTATGGACACCATTTTTATACATGTATGTAAGAAACCTGCTTTAATTTGTAGTAGACCGATCTAGGTTTAACTAGATTTTAAGCATGCTACCTCAAAAGAGAAATAGTTTGCTGAAAGACATTCAACTCTTTTTTGAATACTACATGCTTCGTCATGTATACTGAGGAGTAGCAAATACTAATTTTAAGTCTAGAATAAGAAACTAACTTACAATCACCCTTACTTAAATTTGGTAGGCACATTTTTAGCAGTTGTTTGTTGCAACATCATATTTGGTCTCCGGTTGATAGTTATCTCACTGGCAATCATACCACATCTCCTTAATTTATATTATACAAGACTACAATATCATGAATATAATTACATGTACATGTAATTGAATATTTATTGTTGTCTGAATTTTGTTTAATAGCAAACATAGCTGTGATCAATGGTCATATAAATAAAATGATACTTTGAAGTATTGTTTGACCAGAATAAAATGCCAGTTTGGTTATAAACAGTGCATTTGTAATTAAGATTATCAGAAATACATGTATCGGTACACATTTAGACTTTAAGCACAGTAAGCAGTCAATTGGCGGTAAACATTGCAACATATCCAGAAAATTCAGGTGTACTATAATATAAATATTCACTGAATCTATGAAATTTTATTATTCCAAGGCACGATTAAATTCAGATACATGTATGAGCATGATGATGCACTACAAATATATGCACTAAGACTTTGAATACTTATAATTCCAAATTGCTATTTCAAATGAATAATTATCCAAGGTATTAACAGCCATCCAGTTGTATGATCTTTCTAACAAATTATTAGTGTGCTATTTATTCAATGTACTATTTGCTTCTTGTCCAGTTTAATCCTAGCATCACTTCATGGTACTGTACAATGCTGTTTGAGCTATTCATTTTTCATAAAACAATAAATAATATACACAAAATTATGAATTCATCCACAATTGACATCTGTATATATTTCCTACAAATCATAAGTGCACATTTATCATTTGTAGACTGCTTCATTTTTCTAGCTGGGAATCATCTACAAAAAAACATATATATATGATATTAAGACTGGACTTGTTTCTTTAGTTTATATATGTTTTGTGTAACAAATATTGTAAGTACTAGTACTCTAAAATTATATTCCAAGAAGAAAATCACAATTACAACAACTTTTATTTAGGTAGGAGAAAGCATTCAAGCATGGCCCTAGAACACAGTTATTTCATACTGCATTTCAATTAGACAATAAATGAAAATTAAATAAAATGCTTCGCTGAGTGCAGCCTGATACGACCGCAGAGGTCGAACCCTGAACAGTTGGGGCAAGTTTGGACACAATATTCAAGCTGGATACTGTCTGAATTTGGATTGTGATCAAATGTTTGACATAATATAGGTTTCTGACACAAAATAATTGTGGTCAATGATCTTAAAAATTTGAAATGGGACATTTAATTTACTTAGAATGGACTGATATCCAAAATCTAACAACATGGTTAGATTCAGCATATAAAAAAATCACCAATAATTCAATTTTAGTTGAAATCAAACAAAGTTTAATTTTGGACCCTTCAAACCTTCACTACAAACTGCTCTGAGTCTGAAAAGACCAGTTTTTGTGCTCGACCAGTAAAGTCGAGCACACATTTTACTCGACTAGTCTCGACATTGTCTCCACAGTACTTAACTGTACTTAATTGTACTCGACTAGGTCTCGACTTTACTTAATTAGTCTGATTCAGTACTTGATGATCTTGGTGTAGTCTGAAATGGTCTCGACCAAGACTCGACCTGTCTCAACCAGTCTCGTCCTGTCTCGACTAGTCTGGACCTTCAAATTTAGTCTTCACTGGTGTAAATCAGCTCATCTAACTAAATTATATATAGATCTTACAAAATACCAGTCTATTTGGTAGTTTGATTCATTGCTGTGAAATGAAAGATTTAATTAATAGGTAAAAAAAAAAAAGATTAAATTCAGATAGGCATCTTTAATTTTTTTATAACTTTTTCAAATCAATTTGGATTTTCATCAAACTATGAAGCTATCTTAGTAATATATTGATCTTACTGAATCTCAGGTCATTATGTAGTTTGATGTATTGCTGTCAAATTTAAGATTCAAATTAACCTAGGTAAAAAAAGCTAGGATTTGCAATTTCGGACAAAATTCAGACAGTACACTTTAATTTTTTTTATAACTTTTTCAAATCAACTTGGATTTTCATCAAACTATACAACTACCTTGGTAATATATTGATCTTACTGAATCACAGGTTGTTATGTAGTTTGGTGTATTGCTGTCAAATTTAAGAATTAAATTAATCTAGGTAAAAAAGCTAGAATTTGCAGTTAGGACTATATTCAGATAGTACACTTTAATTCTTTTAATAACTTTTTCAAATCAACTTGGATTTTCATCAAACTATACAACTATCTTAGTAATATATTGATCTTACTGAATCCCAGGTTGTTGTGTAGTTTGGTGTATTGCTGTTAAATTTAAGATTCAAATTAATCTAGGTAAAAAAAACTAGGATTTCCAATTTCGGACAAAATTCAGATAGTACACTTTATTTTTTTTTATAATTTTTTCAAATCAACTTGTTTTTTCATCAAACTATAAAGCTATATTAGTAATATATTAATCTTACTGAAACCCAGGTCATTGTGTAGTTTGGTGTAATGCTGTCAAATTTTAGAATTTAATTAATCTAGATAAAAAAAGCTAGGATATTTGAAATATATCTTTTATTATAATTTGGGATAGAGTATATATGATATAGTTATATAATTTCTTAAATATTTTATCCCTTTTTTATATATATAATATAAATATATCAAAAAGGGATCAAACTTTAAAGAAATTATTAAAATATTTCTTCTGATTAGTGGTGATGTATAAAGCAATACCTCCTGCTCTGGAAAACTTATTAAAAAGATTACACCTACCAGAGAGTTTTAAATTCTAAATAACATTCATTCAAAATTGCAACATCCTGTTAAACTTAAATCGCAGGGCTTTTTGAATTCACTAGATAAGTAATACACGAGTTTTAAGAAAAGTAGGGCTTTCTTTTTACTTGTAAAACTCACTTGTACTGAGGTAATTAAACCATATTAAAGTGGTTCTCGTATGCCATGTCTTTAAATTTGACAAAAATAATTTTTAGATATGATTAAAATACATTTTTACTGTAACTTTGGAACACATTTCCTTTTTTAAAAGGTTATCAAGGATTGTTATGAAAGTTCATAATTGTTATTAAATTCTTGTTTTAACAAAAAGAGGTGTCTTTTTTTTAAATTTCATAACCTTTTTCAAATCAGCTTGGTTTTTTGGATAGTTATAATTTGATCATTCAACTAGTTCACAAATCAAACAAACACTCTTGTAAAGCAAGGATTTGTATAGCAAATCCTTGTGTAAAGTAAGGAATGTATATCAATCGAAAATGTCAAAATGTTTTCAAAATATATACTTACGTTATTTCAGTCGGACACAGCAAGAAACTACCAAAAGACCAGACAAACGGCGCGAAATCATAGCGTTTATATTTTCGAGAGCTATCGGGATTTTTCATCATTCTAATCTTTACGGAAATCGATTTACAGCTGTAGTCTCAGTTTACAGTCATCAATATTTTATATTTGCATAACCATTAAAGAATAATTATTAGAATGTTATTTGGTTATTGCTATTTTCATACAAATATTTTAACAGTTATTATCTATGTTATAAATGACCAATTTATGAAAATGAAACGCATGTTAACAAAACCGTGTATCTACAGTCCCGTTGCCGATCATGTCTCTTTATATTTATTTATTCAATTTTTTTTTTCGCTTTTTTTTTTTTTTTGATTCCTCTGCTAATCAAAGGGAAGCTATCCTCATATTATTTTGATACACTGAAAAGTACTGGACAACGATTCTTTCGATGAACTGAAGTATACTAAAATGTACTTGTCAGTACTAGATTTAACGCTAGGCGTTTTTTCTTAATTACCTGAACCAGTACTGACTGGTACTTAATCGATCGCAGTAGTTAGTGTACTGAACATGTACTGAACAACTGAAAAAGATCTTGACATTTTTCCTTGCGGTAAATTCAGGCATTTAAGAGTTGTTCAGTTTAAAATGACCGTTTCAGTAGTAAAACCCGTTACTAGAATTAGTAAGGAGTGTTTTTATGGGTTGGTTTATGCTCATCTCTTTTGTCGTAAAACTTGTTCTCAACCAACCCTCATCGTCGATTTCAAGATAAGTGGTAGAGTAAACTATATCTGTTGAGCCTTTTTTTTAATTTCAATTGAAAATACGAGTCCAACATTGTGACAAATTTGGCACTATTAAGCGAGATGACATCATCTATATAGTGAAAAGTGAAGTTTCAAGATAATGGTAGCTTCTTTTCAGTCGTCATCAGAAGCTCTTGCATGAAGTCATCCTCGTATGAAAAATGAACTAGTCATTCAAGCTATTCAGAAAGTCTAGTTGTAACTAGAATCGTTGCGTATTAATGGATTGTTTTCTTCAAAATATTTCTTATTTGATGAATTAATGCATTTAAACAATGAACAACGCAATTTAAGCAATCAAGAAGTCAAGTTTTATAATGTGTTTACTGGTTTTTAAATTCTTTTAAATTTCAATTTTCATCAATTTATTTTTTATTTATTTTTGTCTAAATCTTCAATTTATTTTTTATGGTTCACATTAAATAAATAAAAGGTCTTTTCACTACATCAATATTTATAATGAAGCTACAAATCAAACAATTAGAAAAGTCAAAAGATGTTTATTTCAGGCTGGTAGTTACAATGCAGATTGCAATCTCTTAGTTTCGCCCCCTTTATTTCAAGCAATAGTATGATTCGCACACATATTTTTTTACTTTAAATTTTTCAGATTCTTAAGAATTTGTTTATTAAATCTTATATTGACCACATACAATGTTTAAATAGGAAGAAATGCTTAAAAGCTGTTTTTTCGCAGATGGCGGTATTTTGGGCAACTGCATGAGTTGTTATGATTTGCTGTTTGATTAGAAGTAAGCATAATTTTAGGAAATTTATGATGTCAAAAACTTCTTTGGTAGTTATTACAAGGTTTTACTTAGTTTTAAGTGATTAGCAGTTGCATCAGAAAGAAAAATTTGGGTTTTCACACATTTTGTTAACTTTTACTCGAATTTCAGGAAACATGTGCTGTCTATCAAAAACACGTTTTAAATATTTTAAAATGCATTTGATTAATGACCGTTAATATCTCTGCTAAAAGTTTAAATGGTTTGCATATGTGAATTTAGTATATAAAAGTCATATTATGCAATCAAGCTGAAATCTTAGAAAATATGCACTTATTCGTCCTTGGCCTTTGATCTTGATTTGACGGAAATTGCACCGTACGATTTTTTTACGACCGGGCAAAACATATAGTACAGATGTGTAGCTTTCAAATGATATATAATTTAGCCGTGTGTTAGGTGGGTGCATTAAAAATTTAATTTTATGGTTAAAGTCACTCGCCTATTATGAATAAAGCAGGATACTAAGATATTAAAGTTATTAAGACATTCATGACTTACAACAAGGATTTTTTATAGACGATTCCTATGTTTGAAGAAAAAGCTCTGTTTTATAAGACGATGTAGTGGTTTTTTTAACGGAGCATGGGAATAGCAGTTAAAAGCTCCAAAATATTAAACCTTATGTAAAGATTAAAGGATTGCGAACGAAGAACTTGAAGAAGATTCCTCAGGCTAAGTTGACCATAGATGGATATGACAATTATTTTAGGTTCCTTTATGTCATTAGATCTTCGCGTGTTTCGTTTCTAACATGTCACTGGCTTTCAAATAGTTGGCTTTGAATGTTCCTAATAAAGGTAAATCCAGAAAGCGCGTCGAACGCATTACAATTATAATGTGCTATTTTCACATCAGATTGACATAGTTGTTGAATAAACAAAATGTACTTCTTCACATTATTTCTAAAGGCTACCTCTTACCGTAGTGTCTAAAGAATGGTGGTACAAATGTAAGAACTTTAGAAATATGTGAAATCAAACATCAGCTAAAGTATATTTTATTCTTTTTAATGATTTTGTGAAGTTTAGGTATCCAGTAAAATACGCGAGATTTTGATCTTCCTTTTTTAATGTAAATAGCAGAGAAAAGAAGGATGGATTAGTGATTGTCTAAAATCCCTTCGTTCGTGAATAATGTAAGATGCCCAATTTTGCAGTGAATTCCAAGTTCTTTAGTTAGACATTGCAAATAATGCTTTTGCATAAAAACAATGTTGATTTGGGGCTTAGTTTGCTGGAAATACAACATATTTGTCGTGAAGAGAGTATAAACCATCCAGAATCTCGGGCTTCATGAAAATGGTTACAAACACGTGATTACTGTGAATCATAGATTTTGAATGTTTCAGAACGCATGACCGAATAGCTTTGATCAATTCAGATAAAGTGTTCAGTTTTGGTTCATCTGTCTTGTGATTTACCCATTTTCTGGCATACACATGAATTTCTCAAATGCATCCCACAGTAAAAGCTTATTTTGACAGCTTCCAAACCCTTATTAGCAAATTCTACTTAAACACTACCTTTTCATCATATTTCAAAGTAGTTTCCACGGGTTTAGGATGTTGTTAGCAATATTCATATTTATTTGCAGTCGATCTGTACGTTATACCAGAATTTTTATCAATAATGGAAGTGTTTTGGACCTCTTGAAATTATAATGAATTGGGCTTTGGTTTGGAATATTCTAATATTCCCAAAGGTTTTTGAACTGAGGATAACAAACAATACATTAACGGGGTGTGAACTGCAGGTGGTGTATATTTTCGATTAATGTCCCCGACAGTCGTGTGACATAAATTTAATCTAATTTGTCTATTTCACTAGACCTGAGACTAGACAAAATACCTACATTATCCATTTTGTCGCTTCAACTCTATGGAATAGCTATTTCCAATTTATCGAATCATTAAAATTAATGTTCACCTTGTAAGCGATATAGTGTACTCAAAATGAAGACATTTGTTGAATGGAAAAATCTTGTCTTTACTAGGATAATTAACATTATACAGGTGGTGATTCTTTCTTTCGTAAAATCTTGTCGTGGTTCACCGACATAGATAAGTCAATAAAAAGATTAGAAATAAAATTGGCTTTTGAATACATAATTGTACTTTTAGAACAATTAATATTTACTTTAGCTTTATTTAATTTGTATCCTTCTAGTTGAATGACGTTAGGGCTGGAGGTGCTACGATTTTCCCTAGAATCAACACAAGAATACCGATAACAAAGGTACGTCTGAGTTCAATAATATGTAGTTATTTCATGCAAACGGTTTGCAGTTTTAAAGTTTAAAATGAATATTTTCTGTGTTCAGATTAGTTTACAGATATTTTACACTGTTGTCTACGAACACAATGGTGATCAATGACTTCTTGTATACTTTCAATATAAAGACGTCTATGAATGGTCAATCTCTCTCGTATATGTACTATTTAAAAGACTTACGAGTACATTTTTTTGCTCCCTCTGTATTATATATTTTTCTACAAGAAACAAACTCTTTTTCATGGCTAGTCTAAACCTAGTAATTTTTTCCACAACTGAAGGTAGTGAAATTATTTTTAGTCATATTGGTCACTTGTCGAGAAAATACAAAGAACAAAAACATCATGGCCTAAAGCAAACAACAGCCCCAAAACAACCTTTACAGGAAACTAAATATTGAGCTACAAGAACCTCAGCAATAAAAAAATAATGGTTGAACTCAGATGTATCTGAATGGCAAGCACTACTTGTACCGGCTTTCGCGTCCCTCATGACCAACACAAAATCTGTGATCAGTCTCATTCGGTGATGTCTCAATCGAGGAAAGAAGATGGGTTGCAGTAACGACATCTGCAAACATTACCGTGGTCATATGTAGCTTAAATATTCAATAAAGTTCATGTAAAGTAAGTGGGAAATTTGAAATCATCTATTTTGTCAGGTAAATATAAATAAGAAGATGTGGTATGAGTGCCAATAAGACAACTCTCCATCCAAGTCACAATGTATAAAAAGTTAACAATTATAGGTCAAAGTACGGCCTTCAACACGGAGCCTTGGCTCACACCGAACAGAAAGCTATAAAGGGCCCAAAAATGACTAGTGTAAAACAATTAAAACAGGAAAACCAAGGGTTGGATCTATATAAAAACGAGAAACGAGAAACATCTATGAACCACACCAACATACAACAACCACTGAACAACAGGCTCTTGACTCTTAGGAAAACGTAGTATAGAGAGTGAACTACCGCTAAGTGAAAAAATGGGAAATAACAAACCTGACTTTAATTTCACTGGCGTTAGTTCGTGTAACTGGTTACCGACGAAGCGTCGTTTAGCAAGTAAATATGTGCAAGGTGAACACATACACGGTAAATAAGTAACATATAAGGATTTTTGGTGCAAAATGTTGAAGAAAATCATATAGAAAAAATAAAGGTGACAGTAGATAACCGATGTTCAAATCTCGTAACACGATTAGGACGAGGCAAATCACAAATCAATGCAACAAACAAAAACTCAGGTAATTGCAAGAATTCCAAAATAGCGAGACCTGGTGAGTCGATAAAGTGTTTCTATGAAACTTTGAAAAAAATTATTCGTAGAATTACATTAGTCTACTTATATACGTAAGAAAATGATATATTGCAAAAATTGGTTGATACAGCTGTATCTCAAAGTAAATATTTATATTAAAACAAACAATATACATTTGTTTTGCATACAAACCGAAATCCGTTGCGCATTTTTTCAAAGTCGGAAAAATTACTTCCCTTTTTTGTTATAATCCGTGTTGTGGTTGGACAACTTAGTCTTCATCAAAATTTGAAATCAGCTAATAAATTTTCACAATATGCAACATTTAACGTAAGAAAAATATATCAAATGTATTGTTAAATATAAACTACAACTCTAGCATGACGTTTTTATTGAAATATATGAATGAGCATACAAAACAAAATGCATAATAGTTAATTTCTAACAATAGACAACTTTCGAGTTCGATGCATTTCCGTCAAAAACTCTGGTTTTAGTGAACATCATTCGTGCGTTTAGGGGCATCGTCACTTCCGTTCCAATGTTGAGCAAGTGGTTGAAAAACTATAATGCTATATTGCACAAATTATTCGGCAAATTAAATTCTCATAATTGACAATCAGCTCTACTGTCATTAGGGAATTGTGATTAAGTACTTACAAAACAAACATTATTTCTAGTTTATCCTGCACAATGACGATCACTAAGACGCTTGATGAACGTTAATAGATCAGGTATACAGGCGATCCCCTCTATCTGGTAAATGACGTCATAAAGGCATGCATAATTGACGAGTTTTTTCAGGTGAAGGATGAACTCGAAAGTGGTCTATTACAGCTATACGATTTTCTTTTTATTCAGAAGAGTTATCTTTATCATATTTTATTAGTTACAGATACAACTTCTATGTATCATCATGTTTTATTATAATATAGATTCATTCTTAATATCAAATCAATACCTATATAACATTTGTGTAATAGAATACTTCATAACTCAAAAGACCCATTTCGATTCGTGTTCCAGAAATTAGTATTTTTAATCGATATTCCTATGTGGTCCTCAAGTTTAAATAAACTTTTTACTATGGACTAGACGCAATCAATATTGTCCCCAAAATGTTTTATTTTATTCCCCATTTATTCATTGAATGAGATTATCTACATACCAAACATGTATTTGAATAATTATACAGTTAAACATACGCGCACATATTGAAATTTGCAATGCATTGTTATATGAATGTATATGTGAGTCCTCATTGGTGTAATCGGGTGTTTCAAATACGGAGTAAAAAGATGAAAGACCAATTTCTATATAATTTGATTTTTCACTGAGGCCATTTTAAAAATTTGTTAAATCTTTACCTTCTTTCACACCATAATATCTTTGTTTGCCCGTCAACTGTTTTAATGATTTAATTTCCCGTATATTTTGATCCGAGCCCCATGGAAGTACAGCTATGAAATGACATTCAGGTACAAATATTCGTTTCGGTTAAGGATGTCCATCTGTGCAATTCTTAACAAAACATATAAAATTTTCCACTGTTTCAAAATTGTTTTTAACAGCAAGGTGAAGCGCTGAATAATATTGATTTTAATCATTATATAAGTATTTGTAAAATTATTCTAATAACATGATATTCAAAAGAGTGCACACGCTGAAATGTTTCGCCTCCTTTACTGACATTTGATTTTATGTTGATAGTTCTAAATATAAAGCTTTACTACAAGTATCTCATAAACTTAACATGATCCAAGAAAATGAGGTCCAGGTCAGATAAACCAAACCGGAAATACATATTCACCTTACAATCATTCCATACACCAAATATAGTTGACCTATTGCTTAGTTTCTAAGAAACAACCTTAACTAGGAAAACTTAACATTGATCAATGAACCATAAAAATGAGGTCAAGGTCAGATGAACCATGTCAGACAGACGTGTACACCTTACAATCAATCTATGCACAAAATATAGTTGACCTATTGCCTATAGTATCTAAGAAACAAACTTAACTATGAAAACTTAATATTGACCAATGAACCATGAACATGAGGTCAAGGTCAGATCATGCCTGCCAGACAGACATAGACACCTTACAGTCATTCCATATACCAAATATAGTTGACCTATTGCCTATATTATCTAAGAAACAAACTTAACCATGAAAATTTAACATTGATCAATCAACCCTGAAAATGAGGTAAGGTCAGGTGATACTGCAGATGGGTTCTGTTCAACCGTGCTCATGCTTGATAGACCAACAATATTTGGTATGTACTTAGATTATTTGAAAAAGTATTAAGACAGTTTGACATATGTCATATGGTCTTGATCTTCTTTCAAGTGAATTTAAGTAAACATAGTTCTAAATATGTAGCGTAGAAATTGTACATGTTTGGTAGAAAATATTCCGCATTTGAATTAAGTACATGTACATTTTTCATTTGACAAGTGAGATAATCTCATGAGTTTAAAAATCCAATATGCAATAGGAGAGACATTTTAGTGTATCAACTTTCAAATCAAAGTTGAGGCATTTCCATCCAGAAGTGAAATAATTTTGCTTCAGGAAAGAGATAGATAAGATCAATACTAGCATTTTTAAAAATTATTTTATAGGGATCTGCTGCTTTTTGGTATAATATTCTTCCAAATGGAGAGGTAGATGAACGTGTTTTTCATGGAGGATGTCCTGTGTTATTAGGATCAAAATGGAGTAAGCTTCTTTATTTGTATATTCAATGCAACGTCTGTTTGTAGAACCAAATATTTAAACCGACTTAGAAAGACAATGGAAGTGAAAATGAAAGATATAGAAATACCAAGATTTTATATGATTTTCAATGAGACAACTATCCACCAGAAACCACTGAGGATGTAAACAGCTAAAGTTTACCGTGCGACTTTCGACAATAATCAAAAACCATACCGTACAGTAATCTATAAAAGGCCCTGGCATAAAAAAAATGTGAAACAACTCAAAAGAGATAACCAACAGCCGGATTTATGCTACAAACAATAAACGAAAGACAAATATCGAAACAGCAACCAACGGCAACCACTAAATTGTCCATGAATAAGATGTGGTATGAGTGCCAATGAGACAACTCTTCATCCAAGTCACAATGTATAAAAATTTAACAATAATAGGTCAAAGTACGGCCTTCAACACGGAGCCTTTGCTCACATCGAACAGCAAGCAATAAAGGGCCACAACATGACTAGTGTAAAACAATTTTTTCAAACAGGAAAACCAACGGTCTAATCTATATACAAAACGAGCTCTGAATGCTCTCCTTAACCCGCAACAGTGATTTAATAGTACAGTATAAGATGTTCGTTTTGTAAAAAGGGTAGATCTAGGTAAACGGAACATTTTCATGAAAACGCAAGATGTCCTTGGCTTTTATTTATAGAGGTTTGATTCAGCCCATGTGATACGAAGCGAGAATTCTGTCAGTAACACAAATAGCATGTTTAAAGCACTTAACTTGTTAAGTTTGAAAATAATACTTGCATTATGCAATGGTTAAATCAACGAGTCAAATATTTGATGGAGGCATATAAGAAAGTTTTGACAAATGCGAAAAGTTGATTTTAACATACATTTTTTTCTTTAACGTCCGTGCCTTACCTACACTTAACCTGATGGTTTGTTCCCTGATACACTGTGATGTAAAAAATACATGTTATACTTTATAATGATTATGTAACTAGGAGCCTAATGTTACGTGTAAAGCATAAACTGAAACTGTCAAAGGGCAAGAATTCTTAGTAGTGGAACTAATAAAGCCATCTCAAACTATTTATATATATATAGGTTTATCCAACATAACAATGATCAAAGAAAAGGTAATACAAAATATAAAAATAATCAAATACGTCCGGATCAAAATTATCTCGGGATTATTTTCTGAACGAGAAACTTCTTAGTCATGTGTTTGATGTTTTTATATGATGAATTGACTATTGTTACATTTAGTAGAATAGAAAGGACATGGTATATCTCCATTCATGACACAAAATTAGTGCATGAAGCCCGCCTCCGGGCGCGGGATTTTCTCGTTGTGTTGAAGACCCATTGGTGGACTTCGGCTGTTTTCTGTCTCTTTGACACATTCCCTATTTCCATTCTCAGTTTTATGCACAGCAAAAACCACCAAAAAAGAAGGAACCGCGCTTTTTATGCTGTTTTTCATCTCAGTCACAGTGAGGCCTTCAACACGGTGTAAAAAAATCACTACATATTATAACCGTCCCTAGCACCAAACTGACGCTCACGCCACAATTGTGAATTGAAGAACAATGCCATGGAGTAGTATCAATAAAATAATTAAATCTGGCATAGAAATCAAACATTTGCTGTCATTATTTAGCCCGACAATCACACTGATGCGAGCAAAAACTATACAAACATTTAGAAAACCACGGGTACATTGCGATACATATTAGATAACTTGGCAGGAAATAACTTATGTATACAGCAAATATTGGGGTAGACTTTATAAGATGTAATACCACCAACTCAGGCCCGGTCAAAAAGAACATATCGGAAAGAAGTACACACTCAAAACAAAACAGCTCCCACGCATAGGTGTGAATATCAAACCTCAGTAGAATATATATTGGTAATTAAGATATCAAATGAATGGTGAAGGACTGGTGAATCAATACTACTATGTACATATCTATAAAACTAAAAGATAAAATATAATATATTGTGTAAACTTATAAAGCCGTTCAAAAAATTCTACATTTTAATTGTGGATTTAATTCAATACATTTAAATTACTATATTTCATTTCGAACTAGATTATGGATATAAAAACCAGGCACAATAATGACGATGTATACTGATTTCGAAAAGTTTGAAAGTTAGATCAAAATACTATTTACTAAGCTTATTTTTATTTAAATGCAGTTTTATTTTCAGTTTGTACCAAGTGGATCCGTGAAGAAGGGCAAATGTTCAGACGCCCATGCAAACTGCACTTCAATGCGACACTACATTAGAAAATATTTAAAACGTACATTTGATGCCTTCTTATCTTCAATAGTTTTATAATCTATGGTGATTTTAAATAATACAGAATAAAGAAATAAAAAATCTTGTTCTATGGAACTTTAGATCTAAAAATTGAATAAAATACCATACTTTTTTCGATGGTTTTTAAAGGCAGTGACTTAAATGGTATGAGGCAATGGCCATTTCGTTTTTACGTGGTGGCAAATACATCATCATAGAAATTTCGAAAAGTTGATTCTTTTTATTTGTGATATTGTGTGGTATTTATTTTTGTAATTCCTTAAAACTTGGCATTAAAGAAGCGAACGGTGTGTTTTGTTAGTTTTCAAAACTTTCGATAGAGCTGCATTTTGCATTATGAGCAGCCAACCGATTGACAAACTATAATTATTTAAAATCCGTTTGAAAAAAGAATCGGATTTATTTCGAGGGTAATTTTTATCGAAAGTTGTTTATAAGATCATTTCATTCGATTATATAAAAATGAAAAGTCGACTGAACATGGCCTCAAGTGTATATGATGCAATATAAAGGTTTGAAAAATAAAATAACAAAAAATACCAAACTCAATTGTATGACAGTCGCTTAAATTTCCATTACATTGACAACGATGTGTGAACAAAACAAACAGACATCATAGGTAAAAATGTCAAAAATAGGGGTACAGCAGTCAACACTGTGTTATAATCTTAATCATTATAAAAAACAAACAAATTTGTCAACAAAGAAAAACAAAATGACATATAGACATAGCACATTAGCATAAGTGAAAAACAAGTAAGTGTAAACACGTGAAGGACATAATCATTTTCGGTTTTTGTTGATTCAATAGTTGAGTCCTTAACGTAAACGCCAGTTATGTAACATTTATGTAATTTCCCGCCAAATTAATAATTATAATATTATAGTGACGAAATGATTTGCTGCAAAAGAGAAGAAAGTGATACTACGGGAATTCGGCATAATTCATTCGGTTCCTAGTTCAGTGATACGCGTTTTTGGAAGAATTTTCGAGTGTTTGTAACAGAAGCAGAAGAAGTGAAAGAAAACCTAATTGACAGGTAAAACATGTAAAGCGTACAAATAAAAAGTTCACTTCACATACCGTAGGTAATAAGCAGTTATCATAGGACTATTGTACCACTTCCCGACTCTAGAATCGTTTAAACGACGGAAACAACACAAACCACTGCAGCATGCTTGTATGCAAAACTGGTTTAAGTCTCACAAATGTGTAATAAATGAAAAATATGCACCATTTTTTAGGGCAGAAAAATAAGGTACGCAATTCATAGCCCCTTTTCCCCCATTATAATCGTTGACGAACCAGACAATGTTCCTCTTACACCAACACAGGTTGTATGTCTATCTCTCTGTCTCGAAGTTGTGTTCCGTCTGATAATCTAAAGAATGTAATATTTCTAAATGCATGTTGAAGTCTAATATAATTCTAGTTTGTTTTAATATTTCTGAATGCATATTGAAGTCTAATATAATTCTAGTTTGTTTTAATAGAAGATAAGTTATGATTATAGATGGCTCAATTGGACAGCATTTTATTCAATCCACCATAATTACATGTATTTTGGATTCAAAATTGAAATTGGTATTTACTAGTATACAAAAGAACGCGAAGTAATCCTGACCAAATCAGTACCTACTAAAACCATAGTAATAGCATCCATGAGAACGAAGATAAAACTTATCGTAATTACAGATGAGAGTATATTCAGTTCATCCGTACTTTCATTCACTATCAGAAGCAAGCGAAAACTTTATATCCTTCCAAAACTGACAGATGAGCAGACATAAAAAATATAATAGTACCAGGTGTTCTCATAGTTGAACACTGACAATAACGAACAATATTTAATGACCTGGCATGGTCATTTCATGGAGATATACTTGGAATTACATACTTGGAATTATTAACTTGGAGATTAATGTTGTTTGGGGCAATTGCTTGAAGAAAAATTATGTTATTGGAAAAAAAAGTTGACATATGAAGATGTAACATTATATAACTCAATGTTCCAGAGATACACCAAGCTATCATGATGAACAACCACAAATAGTGAAAACCAAACTTGAACCTAAATATTTAATTGCACTATGTTAAGAATAAATCAAAATCAATATTTTCCTAAAAAAAAAATATTCTTGAGTTGCTTTGCAGCCGGGAAGTTTTAAAGTTTCTATGCTACATACGCTTGTTTTATATTAGTTTATAGACTGCACTACTTAACTATGGTAACTAATTCAATAGTACATTAATTGGCTATTATAATCACAAGGAAATTTTATTGTGTACCTTTAAAGTGTGTACCATGTCGAGGTACATAAAATTATATATTCACGGTGATTATCACCAATGCTCAGATTTATTTTTAGTCTAGTCAATTTAGTGAACAACCTGCAACTAATTGCAACACAAAGTTTTTCTCTGAAAAACAAGTCTGTTACTATCTATGAACAACATACTAAAACTATATAAAAATATATTTTGCGGAAAGTGGTGTAATTTATAAAAATGTTTTGTAGTAAAAGTAAGGTTATATGAGTTGCTTCCCCTTATTTGCCAAAGTTGAAAAAAATAAAATTATACAAAAGATGTTCTGTATTTTATAAAACAGTTGAAATAATACAATACAATACATAATTATTTCAATTTAAAAGAATAATATTACAAATGAATCACTTTCCTGTCTCAAAATTTGTATATTTGAATAAAGATATACACCGAGATTGTGTTCTGCTATTTTACAATCCAAGAATCTAATTCTCCAAAATAGTGTTGGTAAGTAACCTATAAATGGAAAACTGTTCTGAATTAGAGTAACCAACTTAGTCACATTCTTACTTGGTATTTGAAAGAATTCTGCCCCTGTGTTAAAGGCACAGACAGTTTATTTTTTGTTGGGGAGGGGTTCCAGAAACACATGTTTTGTTCTTTTATAAAAAATGTTATTCCAAGATTCAAAATTATTCCAAGATTCAAAGTCTTTAATGTATTTTTTCTCCACAACTTTAGAAAGAAAACAATATATTTTTTTCATTTACCTTCTGGAACAAATATGTTAAGATTTAGAACCCAACAATGTTTCATAAAAAAATAAGAATGATGAGTGTAAAATGATTTTATGTTAAATATTTTTTCACAAATGAAAATTTCAGGCTCCTCGAAGCAAATAGCTACTCATGTAATTTGCGACGATCTCAGTACTCACACACCATATAAATAAAGCTTTGACTGTATCACTGAATCCACTTTTCACTTTGGTTACTAATCGGAAGTGTACTAATTTATATTTTAGTCGGTGCCAACAGTATTTATTCATCAACTGTAATTACTAAGCTTTGAACTAGCTATGAGAACTCAGTGTCTTTTTGTTAATTGGTTATATACTCCGTGCTGGTCTTTTTGAGTTGAGCCCTTTCCAACTGGGTTTTACAATTTGTTCTTACGTTGTTTGCTATTTAAATAAAATTGAGAATGGAAATGGGGAATATTGTATGTCAAAGAGACAACAACCCGACCAGATCAAGAACAGATAACAGCCGAAGGCCACCAATGGGTCTTCAACGCAACGAGAAAATCCCGCACCATGAGGTGGTCCTCAGTCGGCCCCTAAATAAAAACTGTTCCTGATTATTGGAGGGTTGAGTGCTCGCAAACAGGGTTAACCCTGCACACTATGAATATGATTATCACAAGTCAGTGGCCCTTTATTACTTGTTTGTTATTGTTTGCTGTCTGTCATATTTGTTTTTCCGTTTATTGTTTTAACATTAATCAGGCCTTTGAGTTTCTCGTTTGACTTGTTTTATATTTTGACGATGAACTATAGTTGTTTACATCCACACCCACATCATTGATATCTCTTGTGGAAAGTTTTCTCATTGGCAATCGTACAACATCTTCTTATTTTTTTAAAGTGGGGAGATTTTATAATAAGTGATGGTTTCAGTATTTTTGTGATTTTACTTTTTTCATTGGCAAGCGACCAAACTTACTACCAAGAGATCACTGATAGAGTTTAGTGGACCTTAAAAGATAAACATTTATATTCTTTTGGCATGAGGTGTATTTTTTTTTTAAATATCTTTATAGTTTCGTTCAAATGAGTTGAATACAGGTCAGCATTCCGGAAGCAGAAAACAGCGTCTTTAACATTGATATATCTGTAATAGAGTATATTTATGAATAAAGAGAGATTTGAGGTTTTTAAAGTCAACGAGAAAGCAACCCAAACGACTAATAAAAACCAGCAGACATACTTTCAGATTAGACATGACTATCTAAACGCTATATCTGGCCATCAAAGTCGCCCACAGACACTACACATTTTAATTCATACACAGATGATGCATGATCAAATTTTTACAGTTCTTAGGCTAAAGCTGATTACCTTTTATTAAATTAATTCAATGAGATATATTAAATAAAGAACTTGGTAATGCTTTTCTTTATATACTAGTAAGTATATATATCTTTGACCATAATATTTCCATATAGCAGACTACCCATGTTAGTTCTTTGTCATTACCATTTGGTTGATGTTTCAGACCACCACATACATGCAGGTTTATAGGGTACACGCATAAGGCGCTGTTGCTATTAACACTTCCTCCAGGAAGTGATCCCATTAATTCATTCAACAGTGCTTATCTCATTTTCAACATCCAAAATTGGACCACTTTAGTACAATTACTATTTAAATTCAAGCTCTTGAGGTAGACTTATAATCGTATTGACAAAGCTGCTCTTGAAATTGCCTTAAACAATATCAGATCTACATTTAATTTTCGATCTATGAGTTTGACTGTCCTTCTGGTATCTGTTGCCCCTCTTTTAATGCTAATTCAGTGAACTAGTATATGTTCCTAAATTTAAAAAGCTTATATACCTGAAATTAAACGTGGATAGTGATAGAGCTTGCTAAATAAAATTAGCAACACATTAAGAGAAATCTGCAATCACGTCGTCTGTGTTTAACTGTGACTTTATGCAATTCAAATATTGTAAACGTAGCTAATGAAAAAATACACAAAAAGGACTACAATCAATGACGATGCAAGGACACTAGAAAATTGACTTTTTTCCAGCAATTAACATGACAAAATCAAAGTCAGTAACCAAACTGATTTACAGTTATTTTTTAACACAATCATTTTTTGTTTATTATACCTACACGTATAATTACTATAAATTATACATGACCGAAACATAAGATAAAATTTCAAACTTCCACAAAATGCACATATTTAAAATTTTTACTGTGTGTTTGTTTATTCTAT